ACACGACGCCGAGCCCCAGCCCCAGGGAGCCCCTGGCTGCGGTACCCGCGTGGCTCTCCATCCCCTCTCCTCGTGCAGCAGCTCCTGAGCACGGCTCGGGGGGCTTCAGCCAGGTCTCCGGGGTGCAGCACACTGTTAAAACACTTCTGCTTTCCTTCTTTCCTTACTGTAATAAAACTATGCACTCCTTTTCTCTGCTTTAGCTGAGAGAGGTGTTTTTCTTTCTCAGTCCGCTCCAGGGCCCATGCATCCCAAGAATTAGTTGAGAGCAGACTCCTTTAGCTGACTTGGTGAGGCCAATGGCAAGATCAGGTCCTAGGAAAATATTTTGTGTCACCTACAAGGAATGAAAGCAGTTGCATCATGTATTTATTGTCTGTATTGGTATATCCAGCACTTAAACAAACATGACTGAGGAGGGGATGGCTCCAGGGAACTGCTCTGGCTCTTGTGTTTTCAGAGATTATTTTTGGTATTTCCTTTTTCCTCGTTACGAATGGGTCCCCCTTCTCACGTGTTGGCCAAGTTATGTATAGCAGGAGGAAGTCTGTGCTCATGTCTTCTTTATGTTTCATTTATCCACATATGCGATAATGTTTAGCTGCTTGTTTTCTTTTCCTGCTATGCTATAAAGTACAGTTATTGGCTGTGCGATTTACACACTTATTGAGCTGATATCACTACCCTTTTTGTTAGAAGAGCATCCTCTGCAACAGTGATTGTCACCATATCATAGCAACTTTGATAAACTAACTGCATTTTGTACAACAAACATTGCCGCTGTGCATGAAATAGCGCTGTACAAGAGAAAATATAGGGCAAACTATCTGATTAATGTATTTGTTCCTTTGTGTTTTACTCTATTACGAATTCATGCAGTTGCATGTTTTGCACTGCTTGTTTAACATGAGGAGATTGCAGTGGGTTTGGGCTTCTGGAGGGATTGAGTTTGGCATTGCGATCGGGCAGGCTGTGTGCTACCGATATTCAGCGTGTATATTTTATTCGTGCCCTCAGAAGAATTAGTTAGTCGAGGTGGCAGAAAACAGCATCAGACAGATGTAGTTTAACCTCCAGACCTCCCAGGAGAGCTCACCTGAGCTGCACAGCCTCTGACTTCGTGCCAGCCTCGAGGACATTGTGAGTTGAGGTTTTGATCCGCTCAGGCACTTACTGAACTCCTTCCCTTCCCCTAGTGCTGTGCATGTCTGCGCATTCCTTCAGCAATTACCTTCCCACTAAAAAAGTGACTTGGTCAAGCAGCACAAGCTTGTACCGCTCGCAAGGACACCCCAGGGCTGCTCAGCGTCCAAGCGAGCCCTCTGGCTTTCTCACTGTAGGCGTCTGTGTCGTGATGTTCCACACTGGAGGCTCCAGCTCATGCAAACAAACCAGTGCCAAGAGCTTCCTGCTGGGGGTTAGACAGACTGAAGATCAAGTTAGGATTTACACGGCGATTTCAATCCAGTTTTATTTGCTAGAGGGTATCAAAGCATTGCAATCTTCTGGATAGATTGAGTGATACCCCAATCCAAAATGGACTGGCAATACCAGCCACAAAATGGTGCTGTTACCTTGATCTAGACTGCTTCAGAAGCACAGTCCAGCTGGCCCCAACCCGTGTCTCCAGCGATCACCTGTAGGTACTTCAGGGGCCAGTTCCTGAAGTACAGCCATACCTACACAGAGGTGCAGGACTGGGCAAGCACCCTCCTTCCTCTTACCAGAGGCAGCCTTGGGTGCTCCTGCCCACCTGCCACCCAGCTACAGGTCAGCAAGTCCAACATCTCGTACAGCGTTTTCCTTTCAGGAGGGATGTCCAGGTTTTGCAGGACACGGTCCCCAGACCATGACCTGTGATGAGCAAGGTCTTCAGCTGGATGCCTCCATGGCAAAGGCAAGCTCCGTCGCGGCCGTGTGCCTGCAAGATGTTCTCCTTGGAGTGGATGGAGCTGAGGGGTGCAGGGTGACAAAGCAAAGGGGGAAAAAAACACATTTCAGGAGCGACTCCAGGCCTGAGAGAGAAGTAACCAAGGCACTGACAACTTGTGTGGGTTTCGTATGTCTGTTTGCAGTGCTGTGTTATGTGTTTAGAAGCTGGTTGTTTCCATAATAACAGCAAGTGCCATATGGCAACGAGGAGGGTGGTGAGAGGAACGCTCAAGGAAACACAGTATGTTGTTTGACATGTGTGTGCTTCTAGATGAATAACGTGTCTTGAGCGAGTACTGCTGCTTCAAACAGGCTGGGGGATTTGCTGCTCTCACCAGAAAAATATCCAAAGCCCTCGGCGTTTGTGCTGGTGCAATGCCAGTTAACGATGCCTGCCCTTCTCCCGTGTTTTCCTGCACATAGTCCCTGTGATGGGTAAAGGGCCTTTTGCTTTACTGGGGGCGATGGTTCTGGATGCACCAGCACAGGGGAATAGCATTTAGACATGGCGATTAAGGGGAAATACAGTTCTGTAAAGGAGTGCTGTGTGAAACCGAAACCAGCCAGGTGCCATATGCTCCATCCGTTTGTTAGTGCTCAGCAAGTAAATAGCAGAAATTTTGAAACCTTTGAAAATACGTAGTTTGCAATAATTGTTTAGCAGAGAGAGGGTTGAGCATTTCCAGAGATTAGAGGAGCACTTTACTGCGTATCTAGGAAGCATCCAGGAAGGTCTCCACAAATTTCAGCTTTTCACAGAATTCACAGAATTCACAGAATTCACAGAATTGTTAGGGTTGGAAGGGACCTCGCTGGGGGATTTGCTGCTCTCACCAGAAAAATATCCAAAGCCCTCGGCGTTTGTGCTGGTGCAATGCCAGTTAACGATGCCTGCCCTTCTCCCGTGTTTTCCTGCACATAGTCCCTGTGATGGGTAAAGGGCCTTTTGCTTTACTGGGGGCGATGGTTCTGGATGCACCAGCACAGGGGAATAGCATTTAGACATGGCGATTAAGGGGAAATACAGTTCTGTAAAGGAGTGCTGTGTGAAACCGAAACCAGCCAGGTGCCATATGCTCCATCCGTTTGTTAGTGCTCAGCAAGTAAATAGCAGAAATTTTGAAACCTTTGAAAATACGTAGTTTGCAATAATTGTTTAGCAGAGAGAGGGTTGAGCATTTCCAGAGATTAGAGGAGCACTTTACTGCGTATCTAGGAAGCATCCAGGAAGGTCAGTCCCCTAATCATCTTTTGCTACCCTTTAATGTATGACTCACTTTTCAAGGACTTGTAATTTGCTCCCCACATTCCCACAAACACCACCAGTCTGAGCGGTACCTTTGCAGAGTGCATATATTTCCACCACAGAAAAATGTGAAATTATTTTTTCATAATAGCTGAATGGCTTTTGCGGGACGTTTACCAACATCAGCTCTATAAAATTGAGCCTCTCCTGTTGGAGTCTTAAAGCCATTAATTATGTTTGTATTTGGATACCTGAAACGTGGTGGTGGGGAGAAGGCAGCAGTTCTGGTTTGGGGTCATAGTTCTGCACTCACTTGCAATGCTTTAAACTCCTAACCAACCCAAAAGGCAAAACTCTTCTCATTTTCATGCTTCTCTTCTTCTCTTTATTGCCTCTAGAGAGAGATTACTGCAGCATATGCGAAAAGCAGCCGATCGGAAGGCTTCTCTTTCGGCAGTTCTGTGAAACTCGACCCGAGCTCGAGTGCTGCATTAGGTTCCTTGACTCGGTGGTAAGTCATTTCTTGTGATATTTTGGGGTGCTTTGCAGTGCTCTCCTGAAAAAGGAGACTCCCCTGACCCCGAGAAATCACTGTTTCATGGGACATGATTTTCTGTCTAACACACCTGTGCAAGCAGCAGACGGGTCTGACCCCGTCAGCATCCCAGCATCTTTGGTGGTGTGTGGGGTTGGTACCATCCTTGGGGAGCATGAGCCACCGGGGCAGGAGAAGGACAGGCACCCTGGCACGGTGCTGGCGTAGTCTCCCTTCATGTCAAGACCCAAGCAGCTGAGCTGCTGTGAGTAGTGTCTTTTGATGTGGGTGAAGCCTGCGGTGCTGAGAGGCACTGGGAGGAAAGGGAAGATGATGAATGAACTGACAAGAGAGGATGAGGAGCGTGATAATACTAATATCTGTCTCTTACCGAGCCTTTTCATCAGTAGACTTCAGGGTGATTTACAAAGGACATCTTGATTATTATCTTGGTTTTTCAAATAGGAAAACAGAGGCATAGGGTATGGAACTTACTTGGTTGAAGTCACCAAGAAACAAGTTTGCTCCATTTTGCACCCCAGTGCAAATCAGTTAGCCCGGCCACTGAGCAAACCCCAGGGGCTTTGCTGCTCTTTCCCAATCTGACAGCACTTGGCCGTGTGTAGTGCCAGCAGAAGCTGTTCACAGTGGAAAAGTCTCTCAGTGGCTTTCTTGCTGGGAGCCAGTAGAAGAGTAGGGTGTTGATAAGCCAAAAGGCTAAATTGTACCAGAGAGGAAGATGAACCTGTCACTGCTGAGTGTGAGCATCCGGGGGGGTATCGCTCTCTGGCTGACACTGACAGTCAAGAGCAGAACGATGCATACCAACAGGAATACACTTTCTTTGTTTCTACCATGGTGAAGCTATTCCGAAGTATAGGGAGATGTGAGGATTGCACTGAAGTTGTAAAAGTAAGAGTCTGGGAGAGGACACACAGTCACTTAAAGTTTATGTTAGTACTGCAGTATCTACAGCGAATCTATAGCATCACAGAAAGCGCTGGATAAAGTCCTGTCTAAATCAGTTTTAGCTGGTCACAACTCCTACTGGATATTCCTAGTACTGGTCATGATTTTCCCCAGTGAAAGGTTTAGCCATCGAGGTACGTGAAACTGCTACGTCCGACAAATGCTCTGTGCAGCTGTGCTTAAGGCCGGTGGGCAGGAGGACATTTTGGGTGCTTTGGGTGTGTTTGTCCTGCACCGAACCGGCATCATCTAGTGAGGTAACTGCTGCCGATGAAACACCACGCACCCGTCTTGGGGGAGGCATAGCCGCAGAAATGCCACATAAGGTGTGATGCCCGCAGCCCCGAGGAGACGGGCGATGGCCATCCCTCTAAGAAGCCGCAGAAATCCTTTGGGAGACAGCCACAAAAGCTTGCTGCCAAGTGGTTTTAATTTCAGACAGAACAGACAGAGCCGTCCTCAGTTTGGAGAGGGTTAGCCAGGCTCTGTGCTATTCTCACGCCTGCTCGCAGCAGCAGGCGTCACATTTTGGTTCCAGCAGCACCCAGGGGCTGTGGAGAACAAGCCCCCATTATGTGAGCCCCACACACGCCTGGCAGCAAGCACTCAGGGCGTACCAGTTCAGCTGACAGCGGTAATAACATCTGGGCAAAAAGGAAACATTACTGTCCCCCCGTATGTGTCACCCCCCAGTGCCACCAGCCCCAGAGCAACCGCATGATAACTTTCGAGCTGGCGTGGGCTCATGGCTGCAGCAATGTCCTGCAGCATCCCCCAGCCTCTCCCAGCCTCTCCCAGCATCTCCCAGCCTCTCCCAGCTTCTCCCAGCCTCTCCCAGCCTCTCCCAGCCTCTCCCAGCAGCGCTGGCTGCCCAGCATGCCTCCATCTGTGGGAATTGAGGGCACTGTGTCATTTCACTCTCCTGGAACCCTGTGGAGTGGTGCCAAGCACTGAAACTCCATGTCCTCCCAGCATCCATGCAGCACAGGAGACACCAGTCCTGTGAAAGCTTGTGGTGGGACTAGCTTTGTTTTAAAGCTCCATCTCCGAGCAAACCCAGACTGATATTCCCAAATGCTTTTGCTAGGATGTGCTTTACACCCACCCCCAGGTTGCTTCTGCAGACTGGAGCTGCCCTCTGTACTTTTACTGGGCCAGTGATCTGTTCCCAGTTAGACTCTGACTGGCAGTACAAGGATTTCATGAACAAAATGCCTGGCTGTGTGGAAGTCTGAATATTTACTCTTTCTCTCGTCTTTTTAACGATAATTAACAGCAGTGTCCTTTGTTTATTGATTTAAAATTCTGTACAAGCTTGCTCTGAGCCCATGAAAATCCCTGTATTAGGCAATGTTAAGGTCGAGCAACACAGCCCGTAGCCATTAAATTGGATGATTGCTACTGAAATTCACCCAGCGGGGGTCACACTGCGTTGAGTGAGTAGTGGGATTCAGGCCAAGTCCTACGTTAGGCAAAAAAGTCCTATAATGAGACCAGAAGTTTGAATTTACAGCCCTATTCTGAGACCACCAGGAATGCAAAACCTTTTGGAGACCACCTGCTGTAACAGGCCCCAAGCAGAAAAAGCCAAGAGCCACCAGTTTCTTTTGACTTAGTTATTTTTCTGACACGAGATGCGAAATTTAGCTTTTGTGTAATATCAAATAGAAAGAAAATAATGATAGAGGAAAATATTTAGCTGTTCATGAGAAGCTTGCAGAGGTTTTTGTGAATGGAGAGGTAGGACCCTCTTTTACAGAGCAGAGCTAAGTGACTTCATCAGGTCACACCATAAGTCATTGACAGAAGCCAGTAGTTGATGCTTCCCGATTTTTAATACAGTTTTTTAACCAGTGCACTCAACTACCTGCAAAGAAAGCAGTGATGGGGGCTCCTGGGAGGAAACCAGAAGCTGTGTCAGACCCTCAACAACCTACCAACAACCTCCATTCCCATCCCTCCGTGAGACTCAGTTTTGCAAGCTGTCTCTCCCACCTTTGCTTCCCAAGTCTGCTAAAATCAACCAGCCCTTGCAGAGCAGAATACGTAAAGGGAAAGAAAAATCCTCGCTTTCCTGGACATTTATTTCAGCTGTTGGGTGAAATAACTAACCTGGTCTGATGTAGTCTCCTGCAAATCTGATTATAGCAGCATCTGGAGGTTTTGTTTGTTTTTTTTTGTCTGTGCAGTTAAACAGGTGTTAGGCTGCTTTCTGAAGAAAAAAGGATTTGTATCATTAAATTGTGCATGCATGTAGGTGTGTATCTGTCAGTTCCCTCTGAAACCTGTGAATACCTTGGCCAATTTCAACCAATAATTGAGATTAAAATGCTCAGAGGAATAACGTTTCTACATGTTTTCCGAGAGCAGCATTTGAATAATTAGCCACAATCTATCAACTGCAAAAAGGACTATGAAGATCTGTGGTTTGTAAGCAGTTGCCCCCAACATTAAATGATAAAAGCAATAAAAGCTGAGAGATGCAGAGCTTCACAGTGCAGTGCTGGTGGAGCTGTGGGTGTTTGGTTCCCACTGCTGCTGTGGGACCAGTAAGTGGTCATCAGTGTGGCTGTCTGTCTGGGAAATGGGGTAACAGCAACCCCTTCTCCTAGCCGGTACAGTAAGGCTAGAAGGACAGAGGGACATCTCGTATTATGGATATTGAGGCCCCATCCCTGGAGGTGTTCAAGGCCAGGCTGGACGTGGCCTTGGGCAACCTGGTCTAGTGGGAGGTGTCCCTGTCTATGGCAGGGGGTTGGAACTCGATGATCTTCAAGGTCCTTTCCAACCTAAACCATTCTATGATGCTATGACAGAGGTCCTGACTTGACTAGCTAAAACATCTAGTAAGAAGTACTGACGGCTGCAACTTGTGCCTCTGCATGCTTATCTGCCTGTCTGTAAACACAAAGATCTCCCATGAATAGTTCACCAAACCCTTTTGTAGCCATTCAGATGAAGAAACTATGTGAACATAAACTATTATCATTAAAATGGAGATGGTTTATGATTAAATCAGCTCCCCTATAAGCCCTTAACAAAGAATTCACGCACAGCCCTAAAGCATGCTTTGCTGTGCTTACAAATATTTTAGCGACATTGTACAACTTTGGAGCTGTTGAAAGACAGACGTTAAAATAAAGTGTTAGGGGATACGTTTCCTGTGCTGAAAGGCAGATCAGGGAGCAGGGAATCTCCTAGCAAGACCCATTCCCTTCCCCGCAGCCCGAGCCTCCAGCACAAGAAGGCGGCAGTTCAGTGGGGACCTCTTGCCCCGTCCCCTTCTCAAAAGCACATTCCAGGGGGTGCCAGCTCCTGAGGTTTCCCTCTCCTCTCCCGTGATTTTTGTGTGCTGTTATAATGAAGGCTTTAGCTTCCGGTCTCCCTTTCCTGTTTCATCTAATCACATTCATCTTTTTTTTTTTCTTTTTTTTTTTTTTTTTTTTTTTTTTTTTTTTTTTTTTTTTTTTTTTTTTTTTTTTTTTTTTTTCTTTTTTTTTTTTTTTTTGTTTTTTTTTTTTTCCAGGAGAGGGCTTTTAACGTGTTAATGTGGACCAGATTTAGATTGACTGGAGGAGAACGTGGCTAATTCTGGTCAAGGAGAAAATAACCTCACATTATTTTCTCTTTAACCTGTACAATGTTATTTCATTGCACAGAAGTCACACAGAAATGCATCCTCTGGAGGAAAATAGCCCCACTGCCTCTCCAGGTTTTTTTCTGCTTGTTCTATCTGAGCATGGGGGCTGGGGGTGAGAGGCACAATCTCCTCGGGTGGACTTTTCAGCTGAACGCTTCACTAGACATTACACTTATCTGGGGTAAAAGGATGAGCGAGCATCCATTTAATGCCATTTGTAAAAACCCTGTCTTGCTGTTAGGGAGATTTCGTTTGGTTAAGTCCCTTACATGGTATATAAACCATCTGTGTATGTGTGTCTTAAAGCTGTTCAAGGCTTTTTCCATCAGAAATGCCAGTTTGTTGATATCAACAAACTCATTAACTCAAAATGTGTTTTTAAACAGTCAAAAGGGCTCTTTTTGCCCTGCTTTTAAATATGAAAAATGTGGTTTCAAGTTCACTTTTCATTTAGAAATGCGAGTTATTATGAATCCCAGCTGTTTGGGTTTTGCCTTCCAATTTTCAGTCACAGATTTTAAATCTGCAGCAGAGGCAAGTGCAAGGGCAGTTGCTGCAGCACAGAGCAATAACAGGGCAGAGCCTGGGGTCGGAGGAAGGAGTGAGATAGAGCAGAGAGATAACAGAGGAAGGAGCTGAGAAAGTGGAGGTGTAAAATTGGGACTGAAACACCGGTAGCCCCCTGCAGATGCTCAGAAGGTGACTCCAATACTCCTGGCTTACACCAAGAAGCCAAAACCACTCTGGTGGGAGTGTCTGTTGCCACCTCCATCTCCTGGCGGGTATGAAGGATGGACTCCTGTGGCCATCCTGTGCTACCACAGGCAACCAGCAGCTACCTGCTGTGGGAGAGAGTCCTCCCAGATCTGCAGAGAGATCCCTCTGGCTCCGTTTTTCAGTTTTCACTCATTTTTAATGAGACGAAAATCAAACAGTAGGTAAAACGATGTGTCAGAATTAAGGTTGCTGATGCGAGCCCCTCTGGGGTCCCTGTGCCATTGCCCTGGTGATGCTCTCCATCGGTCTCCATCGATCTTCTGCAGCCCCTGAACCTCTTGCTCGGCTGTCCCCTAGCCCACGGCCCCATCCCATGGCCAGCCACAGGCTGGACGTTGCTCCCTTTCCCAGTGGAAGCGTGTTTTCCCATCCGATCTCACTCAGCCCGTGCCAAGGGCGGCTGCTCCGAAAGGAAGGACGCTTTGCACCCCCGTACCCCTGTTCAGTCAGGGTTACTTCTAGGGAAGCGGGAACCACTGAAGCAAGTACTACCTCCGAAACAGCAGCCAAAAGAAAAGTTAGCAACAAACGGCGGCCAGCCCACATCCTCTCGCCATTTGGACTGAAGGATCCGCGCCTGCCCACAGAAAGAGCCTTCCCTGCAGCTCGTCCCATGCAGTCAGGGTGATCGTAAATCCTCCCCTCATTTATGAGCTATGAATAGGGCCCTGTCTGACCTAACTAGGGCATGGAGAAGCTATTAGACTTGAAACACATGCCTGGATTCATCAAAGGAATAATGGAAAATACTTTGTTCCACATGGATTTTAAGTAACGATGTTATTTCTAGCAATTAGGGATTTGCAAACTGTAGCCGTGCTTTTGAATATTGTGGAAGAAGGGGATGTATCTTGTGATTTAAACACAAGATTTGGAGTTGAGGACCTTGGTACGCTTCCCAGGCGTGCGGCAGAGTGAGCATGGGGACGTCATTCTGTCTGTCTACATGGGCAATCCTTCCTGTAATAACAGTCCGTGCCTGAAAATGTGCCAGTATCTGTTGCTGAATAGCTCAAAAGTGGCACTGAAGGGAGAAATAATAAGGAACTTAGAAACAAAATGAAACGGGTGTCTGGTACTTGAGCTACAGTGAAATCAACACTGTTCACAGTTGGAGCTTATGGTTCCTTCTCACACCCTCACTTGTCTGTCACTTCCTACCTTCGCCACCACAGTGTCGCATTTTCTGAGAGTGTCAAATGCAAGTATAATTTCCTTTTACTCCTTCCCAACTATCTTAAGACAGAATTAGGTACTCTGTGTGTGTGTGTGCATGTGTGTGTTTATCTGTGCGTATGTTGTATCCCATCAGGAATTGCATTTCAAAACGCTGATCTAATTCCTGCTAAACTTCCACCTTCTTTCGGTCTGACCTGATTTGCTTCCCATTGTACAATTTGGATGGGATGTAAATATAATAGGCTATCTGTGGCAAAAAGGACATCAAAATTTTTGACATCTCCCTGGTGCAATTCAAATGGCAGAGGATGACTTTGAATCAGGTCATTATTGGATAAATTGTAAATAGCATTGTATAGAGAGAGGACTCAGAAGATCTCCTAGATGCTTCCATGCCAATGCAATGCCAAGGAGTTCTCCTTTCTTTGCAGTCTTCTTTCTGCACAGACAGTTACATATAAGTTCAATTATTTTCTTTTATTAAAATATATTGTTTCTGTTTTCTTTTATATAAAAAACCTCTAGTTTGTCTGTGAACCTAATCATAAACTGTAAGGTCCAAATTAGATGCAACATTGACCTTTTAAAAAATTGTTCCTTCTGTTACTCTTGCCATTGCTTTATCCCCTAGCCAGAAATCATGGAGAAAAATGCATTTAAGATGCTGTAAACATTCAAGTGTCTGTGCTTTAAGAGCTGAAATGACCCATACTCAGATACCATCTAAAAGGACAGGAAATTGGATGAAAGATTTTTTTTAAACCCTTGTATTACGTTTCATGAGAACATAATCAGTTCATCCCCAAAATGGTCACTAAAAGAGAAGTACTGCACTTGTGGATTTTAGCTTTTGATGTATTTTCGATCAGCAATACACGTTTCTCTGTTATTTGCAGACATTGTTCCCAAACAAAATCAGACTGTAGTTCTACATTGTTCAAGCAACCTGCTATGTATGTGTATAAATATGTAGCTCCAGACTTAAGCTGCAAGAGCTAAATCAGCACTGGCCAGATAGATGGGTAATAGCATTATTACTACATTGTGGTTTCATGTCATTCCTAGGTCCGCTTAGCGAGGGTATCCGTTACAGCCTGCCTTCCCATTTATTGCATCAAGCTCGGAGCAGTATGTATGTCTGCCAGTGGGCAGTGGTTCTGAAATTTGTTCTTCCAAGTGTTTGCCAGTTCAGTCTGATTTACCTTTTTTTTTTTTCTTTTAACTTCCTCCTCATTTATCATCTCAGACAGCTTGTATTGGACCAGGTTACTTAATTGGTTTGGCAGGACTTTCTGGGATCCTTTTTCTAATACGAGCAGTCATGGAAGCTGTTAGGCTGTCTTCTTATTTTATTTTTTTCTGGAAAGTGTTTTGATCCTAAGGCTAAAGCTTTGTATCCCGGGCAATGCCCAGTGGGAATGTCTCTAAGAACTTGTCATTGTCATTTATCCACTGGGGTCCCACACGTCGCATGTTTCCTTTGAATGCCTGCCATGGATCCAGAATTCCATGGATTAATATGTTAAACCAAGGGGAAGACATAAATAAATAGGAAGGACACATTCGACCAAAAAGGCAATCTGCTGAAGGAGTTCACCTGGTGCTTGAAATACCTCTGTGGCAAGAATTAACAAACATTTGCGTCCTCTACTACTCAAAGAAATAATTTTACCTTCTGTGTCCGTCTTCACTTTGAGCAAAACTCATAAAGTTGCCATCTCTAGTTGCTGAATGCTTTCTGAAAGCTGGCTTGGCAAGGCTATAAAATATAAATTACTTACATTTTATTGATGTTAATTAAGAGCCATCATCTCAGAAAATGCACCACTAGGCTTTGGTCAAAATATGGTGGAAGGTTTTTAATAGGATTGTGTATACGGGTTTTGCTTCCATCAGAAAATGGCATTTATCCTTCAGATTTTTCAAACAGAGCATTCTGTTAAGGCCACATCCCAAATGAAGTTATAAAGGTGAAATATGAGTGCAAATATTGACTTTTTTTTTTTTTTTTTTAATATCTGTTCCAGGCAGAATATGAAATTGCTCCAGATGAAAAGCTGGGAGAGAAAGGAAAGGAAATCATGATGAAATACCTCACCCCAGAGGTAAGGGGCAGCCAAAGTGGCATTACTGAAGGAATGCTGCAAGGCACACCTTTGCTAAACAAGGTTGTTATAGGCTTTGTAAACCAGAGTCCTAAAATTTATGGTGGCAATCTCCAGTGAATAAACCTTCAAGTCTTAAACAAACAGTCAGAGAGAAAAAAAAAATTATAATCCAATCCAGCAACTGACTTCTAAGGATGAACTTGAGTTTACCAGGGGCTTAATTCATCTGTGGATGAGCAGGGCGCTCCTCTGGTCTCTTCTTGGTGTGCAAAGCCTTGCATCCATGGTGTCACACAAGAGACCTCAGCTGTTATCAACAGATGCCACAATTATTTCCTATCCAGCTCAAAAGAGGTGGTGGCATTTCATATACGGTTGTGTAGAAAGTACTGGCAAAAATGGTTTTTGGTAACAAGACACTATTTTGGTACAAAAATTCCCACTCACGACCATCTGCCCCAGTGTAGCCAGGGACATGCAAGACTGACATGGGACACGTGTGTTGGAGCTGAGAGGTGTATCACCGGTTCTTGTTTCCACCACTGTTGGTTCCTCAGCGTTGGATCTCCGGGCTGTCCGTTGGAGAGGAGCTCATGGTAGTAGCTGTGTCCACAGGGTGGCACTCCAAACAGGACTACAAATCTGCTGAAGGAATTTTGGACAGGCTGCACTGGGACCTTTTGGGGGGGTTTTTGATCATTTGCTGACCGCATTTAACCTTTGCAACAAAAGTCACTGCCAGTAAGCAACAAACATCCAACTTCAAACACAAGAACAATTCTAGGATTTTTCCTAAGTTGCTTTCATAAGAGTAATCAAAGACGTACAATTGCTGCTTCAACTGTTTTACAAGAGAAATACATTTGACCTTCAGGAGAATTAATTGCATTTTTGGCAGATGTCTTTCTAAAGCGTTTAAACGGTACAATATGTTTTGGAGGTGCAGGGGCAGAGCAGACCACTTTTTTTCCAGTCAGTCATTTTCCTACAATAAATTTCAATGCATACTTTCGGTTATCTCAGACTGCACTTTGGGATCTGGTTTCATTTACTGAGCCTGGCTAGTTTCATGTGCAGCCATTGAGCACTGCCAGTATGAGTTCCTGCTGCCCATTCATTAGGGGCATGAAGTTCCACGGCTTTTTCAATCCACCAAAATGACCATTTGTCTTGAATTTTCTGTCGGCAGAGGAACGAGGGACAAATGGTAAGGGAAAATATTTCCCACTGCCCTAGTTCTCATCTGGAAATGGAGAAAGGCGTTCTGCTGATAGCTGGGCTAGTAAAGTGAGAGAAGGGTAGTACTGCTTTGTTTCGGATGGTCTTGATGCGCGTTTCCAGATGCCAAATCCCTCCTCTGCTCTCCCGTAGCACTCCTGCCATCCTTGTCCCTTTGCCAGCAGCCCCATAGTGCAGCAGCAGAACATGAAATAATTTACTGAGGTAAGTGAATGTGCAGCAAAGACCAGTCTGAGAGCTTCTTCATCAAGAAAAAGTGTTGCTGTTACAGGAAGGGAGGTTACTGGGACTCCAGAGCTGGAGTTTCCATTCTCTGCCATGCTCTGCGCTTCATCTGTGACCTGCATACCCGGTTTCTCAGTACATAAAATGGGCACAGGATATTTACAGTCTGTTCTGAAACTTCTCTGGTATTTGCAAATTACCTTGACGTCTTTGGGCAGAAGGAAATACAAAGTTGTGCTCCTTCCCTTATGATCTAAAACTGCCTCCCTGGTGGTGGGGGTGCTTTAATGTCTGCATTGGTCTTGCTGCATTTTTTTTTTCTTAATGGGAAACTTCTGCTTCTTCCCAGAGGGATGTTAAGCCCTGTATAGCAGAAAATACTTCCTGGAGGCAAGGTTGACTGTGCCATAGCAATGGGTTGAATAGTAGATTTTCTAACAGGTCTCCCACACATCAAACACTTAAAAAACTTAGAGCAAGGCCTCGATTAGTTGAATTTCTTTTTAGAAACCTAACTAAGGTACTCAGGCTAGGAGTTCAGATGGCCTACTGTCCTTTCTTGTCAAGAAAGAGAAATAAGAATCTCCAAAGGACAGTGATTTGAAGCCAGGTTAGACGCTTGCAGTCAAAAGGGGTGAATCTGGACCCGAATGTCCTAATGGAATATCATCCTGGCCAGCAAAGAAACCTTCTGTTCATTAGGAGCTGCATTTTACCATTTAGTTATCCGTCCCTTGAAAGATACAAATTGCTGCTGATTCCAGAGTCTTCTGCTTTCAGAGGAACAGTTCTTTTAAGTAGGTGTGTGTCTGCGCTTCAAAGAACCTGATTGTCTTGATATAAAAATAGTGTGACATACAGCTTGACTGATAGAATAAAATTATAGGTTTCGTTCTTGGACAGATACTTCAGTCTTATAATGTGAGGAGTATTTTTCCCAGAGTGCAGGATCAGAAGCAAAATGAAAACAAAAAGTAGACTTCATGCTCTTTAATATTTATAAATGATTTTTAGTTCTTGCTTGGATTTTTAAATGTCATACATATTTAACATACAATGTGTCAGTATATCATCATTCTAAAGTGCATTCATTTGCATAGAGAACATGAGCTTTATTTAATAAAACATATACTACTTGCACAGCAGAAAGGAAAAGAAAACACTTCCCCAGATGAATAGACATCACACCAGTACTTACAGCCTCGCGTGACGCACGCAGCCACTGTCTGCAAGATGGTGCGACACCGCGCTGTGCAGTTAGCAGACTCCAACCTCTGGGAGCAGTGAATTCCCGCACGGAGAGCTCTGTGTGAGAGCATTCAGCATCAGCCCCGAGGCCACTAAACAAGCTCAGGGCTTGCCAAGATGGTTGAGGGGGCAGGCACTTTTTCAAGTAATCGTGATTCAGGCTCTTCGCAGCTTTAACATCCTGACCAGTTCCTATGTGCTCGCTGGGGAAGTTGAGAAGAGGTCTAGCAGCCTTTTGTCATGGTCACGCCAGGGACAGCATGAGCAGGTCAGGATTCCATCATGTCCCTGGCCTACAGGCAACAGCGATGACAAATTCTGAATGTGTCCTGGCACCTGGAAGGGACCCTAAACTGGTGGGTTAGGCCTCTCGAAGAAGTGGCACAGTGGAACAACCTCTCCAGGGATGTGGTAGAGTCCTCATTACTGGAGGTTTTCAAGGTGCTATTGGACAAGGTGCTAGATAATCTCATCTAGGTTCTCTTTCCCATGAAAGGTTGGACCAGATGATCTTTAAAGGTCCCTCCCAGCCTGAGCTGTTTGATGATTCTAGGTACTCAGGTTCTCATCTAGGAAGATATTAGTATTCCTTCTCTCTTGTCTAAAGTTCATTGAAACATTCAGTTCCATCAGGCAATTCTGAACTATGTGATGGGAGGGAAATATAAGGAGTACGTGTGATCCTGACGCCGAGAATGCCGAAGTACAAGCGTTTTCATGGGTTCCTTAGCAGCTTCACTTGAGTGGTGAGCAGGAGAGTGAAAACCCACAGAAGAGGTGTCCTGTAGCCGAAGAACGTCTTGAAACATGCTCTGAAGAATTGTTAACTTGCTTCTCTGAGGAGGTCGAACTGTGAGCTGGCTAGTCCTCAGGGGCTCTGTGGGCATGAACACTGGTGACAGGGCCTTGTCCTTTAAGAGGAAGAGACCCAACGAGGCATGTGCCACCTGGACTGTTAAAAGGAAGAGACCCAACAAGGCACATACCACTTCAGTACTGCAATCTGAAGGGAACCCCACCTGTGGGCTGTCTTTGCTCAACAGGAGCAGCACAATGGTTGCCATGCAGGCAAGATCAAGGTTTCTTGACGAGAGTCTTGCATCTTCAAGAGAGGCTTTAACAGTTTCCATGAAAAAGGCACTTAAAGCTGCCTTCTTGACTTAATAAGCCCGTAGGGCAAAAGTCCAACCCACAGGAAGTCTAAAATTTCTGAGGTTGTGAAATATGATGGTAAAACTGCTAAAAGGAATTGGTCACAAATATTTCTTTCCTGGCTTTTCCTAATCTCAACAGTTGAGTGGGAATGTTTCAGGTTTTGGTTCCAGTTCTGTCTGTAAATGGAAAAGCCCTCAGTGCTTTGTGGAATAGTTGAGTTAAACTGAACGCAGCCTGGCTTCGTTACCTGGCTGCTTCTTTTACTGGAAGAGCAAAGTGATATGTTTACCTTTGTACTGCTTTCAAATTCGGATTTTGCATCTCCATGCAGCATTTTTGCCTTCTCTTGCCTGACAGCTGCCATGCCTTACTCTACTAAATCACTAGCCCATTATTTTCTTTTTCACTATAAATCACCTTGCGATACTTTGAGAGACGCTATATAAAAAGAAATTGATTTGAAATGGCTCTTAAGAAGGTCTCCATATGCCATTATAGTTTATATTTGGACTCAGCTGAGTACTAAAAATGCTACTGAATAGGGTGTCTAATGTGTATTGTTATCCTCATTAATGTACTTCACAGAATATGAAGAACAGCAACAGCATTAGTTTTCTTATCTGAATTCCTGTTCGGTCTCCTTTCCTCCAGGAAATGCACAGAATAAAGGCCATGCTTGCAATTTCTTTCTTTGCGGCAAGAGGTTAGCTGGACACAGCAATAACCTCCTTATTTCAGTCTAAGGCGAGCAATGGGTATTTTGCTAAATGAAAATATGCTTTGTTTATATGAACAATTATAGGATAAGGAAGGGAGGGAAAAGTCCTGTGAAAAGGAAACTGGCTGATCAGCAGTGCCTGGCCTTCCACTTGTCTGCTGGCTAAAATGTGCTCTTCTCTCAAATCATTTTTTTCTGGAGAGGAAAACATCTACGTAATATGGATGAGATGAAATTAAAATGATATATGAGCCCTTCTGCTGGACAAAGCCATGCAGCTGAGTCCAGGCTCCTGCTTACAAACACCCTCTCTCAGCTCTGTGCATTGGCAAAGAGTAGTTTTCTTTTTGCACAGCATTGCTTCAATCTTGCTGCCGAGGATCTTTGCCTTTGGTTGCTCTCTCCTTGAGAT